ATGTAAGAATCTTGTCTTGCATTCACCCATTCTTTTAATAAATAAACATACTGAGCACCTTCTGGACCAGTCAGACCTGGGTGTTGAGACCAGCTGCCCACACTAGCCTGAGGCTAGCAAACCACTTAGTATCTGCCGTTCTGTCAACCACAATGACCATCCCAGGGACACCCCACACTATCTCCCTTTGACCTGTTGCACTCGATCTTGTCTTCAGCATTCTTGGTTTCTCAACATCTATCTCCCCTCCGCAAATTTATCCTCATTTGTCTTTTCTCTTCATCCTGGCTTTGCTATTTGGGGCCCACCTAGGACACAGGTCCAGAGCTCTGACCTCTAATGTAATAAGCCACTTTTATCTCTACAATAGCCTGGAAGTTGTTTGATGTCAGGGACATATGTTTTCATCTTTGTATCCTCAGAGCCCATAAATGTACCTATACATGGCAGCACTCAGGAAATGTTGTGAAAAGAGAAACAGTGAATGTGGCTATATGACACATACCCAGTTAGCAGGAATGTATTAATGCTAAGTCTTACATACCCCCTTATCCACTGAACGTGCTTCTGCGTTAGGGAAGAAAAGAGAGACCAGACATGAGTGTAGAGGGACTTTCTTTTCTAGAAGTCAGAAGCTCTGTGTAATCCATGGCTGAACTTCTTTAATGTTTGCTTTCATTGGAATCCTTTGAAAACTGTTGTTTCCTCCTCTGGTAAAAATGAATATGTTATCATGAATGCCACTCTCTTTCTTTCTAGGAATCCCCATATTCCATTCTCTTTGGCAACAATACTTCAATTGCTCCCTGTGTCTCTTACTTCTTATTTTTAGTAAAAGGAGCATCATTTTCAGTTTCAGTGCCCTTGGAAATGACCCGTTGCTTTGAGCCACAGACTCTCCTCTCCATTTACTTCTGGCATGAACCACCAGTATAGTGATAAGATCTGTGGCCCAAGCTGCTATATGACTAGACAGTTAACCCTTAAACAGCAAGGGGGTTAGGGGCACTGATCCCCTCCCCATCCTGTGCAGTCAAAAATACACATATAACTTGGGACGCCTGGGTGGCTCAGTCTGTTAAGTGTCTGACTCTTGATTTCAGCTCAGGTCATGATCTCAGGGCATGAGATGGAGCCCGCATTGGGCTTTGCACTCAGTGCGGAGTCCGCTTTCTCCCTCTGCCCCTCCCCCTGCTCTCTGTCTTTCTCTCAAATAAATAAATAAATAAATAAATAAATAAATAAATAAAGTTTTTAAAAATAAATTAAATATATAAATCTTTTAAAAATAGACATATAACTTTTGACTCCCCCAAAACTTAGCTACTAATAATTGTCTACTGTTGACCAGAAGCCTCACCGATAACATAAACATATGTTTTATATATTATATGTATTATATACTGTATTCTTACAATAAAGTAAGCTAGAGGAAAGAAAACGTTATCAAGAAAATCATAAGGAAGAGAAAATACATTTACAGTACTATACTGTATTTACAAAAAAAAAATCCATGTGTAAGTGGACCCACACAGTTCAACCCCATGTTGTTCAAGGGTCGACTGCATATAAAATCAATGGTAATCTCTTCAACCCATTTTGTCCAAGTCACTGAGATGTGACTTGTGGCTCATGGCTGTCAGGCCAGTCATTACATTCAACTTTCATTTATCAACCACCCTACTCTGGTATGATTTTTCTTTTAGAAACTTGCAAATATTTTAAATCCTGCATTTATATTTTGACATATTCATCTCACCTGTCTCTCATCAATCCACAAGGAGTTTTAGAGAGAATTTTTTTGCCACAACTCCTGTCTTAGGAAATGATGGCATATAACCCATGCTGGGTTCTTTTTTTTTTTTTAATTTATTTTATTTTATTTATTTATTGAGAGAGAGAGAGAGAGAGAATGATAGAGTGAGCACATGAGAGGGGGAGGGTCAGAGGGAGAAGCAGACTCCCTGCTGAGCAGGGAGCCCGATGTGGGACTCGATCCTGGGACTCCAGGATCATGACCTGAGCCGAAGGCAGTTGCTTAACCAACTGAGCCACCCAGGCGCCCAACCCATGCTGGGTTCTAACACACTCACTTGCTTTGGTGTGACACGTGGGTGGACTATGGTGACATTAAATGGGCCAGAGACATGGCAGACAGGCTTTAGGCTAATAAATTCTATCAAGAGCTGAAGGGCATATATAACTATGTTTGGTACTTAGAGGAACTTAGAAAAGTAATTGCAAGCAGCAACAGTAACAATAACAAGCCTTACTAATGGGCAAAAACCAGAAGCAGTATTGTTTACTAAGAAGTCCAGAGAGAGATATCAGGGTCAGCATCTCAAAAATGTCAGCAATGACTCAGAATCCCACGCTCCTCCTCCCCCTCCTTCCTCAGCATGTTGGCTTTTCATCCTTATGGTTACCATCCATGGTCAAGATGGCTGCCGAACTCCAAGCATTTTTTCCCTCATGCCAGCTAGCTCTTCTTTTATGACTTTTTAAAAAATTCTCTTTTTAAAAGATTTTATTTATTTATGAGAGAGAGAAAGAGAGAGCGAGCAAGCATATGCAGGGGGAGGGGCAGAAGGAGAGTGGCCACAAGTCCAGCAAAGATAGGATATTCTATTATCTAAAATTTGAGGGTTTGGGGCACCTGGGTGGCTCAGTTGGTTAAGCGTCTGACTCTTGGTTTCAGCTCAGGTCATGATCTCAGGGTTGTGAGACCGAACCCCTTGTCAGGCTCTGCGCTCAGCAGGGATTCTGCTCGAGATTCTCTGCCTCTCCCTTTCCCTGTGCCCTCCCCCAACTCGTGTGACATTTTACAACTGAAAAAACTGAGGTGCAGAAAGGTTATGTGACTTTCCTAAAGAGAGATACGAATGCTTTCTCAAAGGCAGTGGTTAGTTAAGAATGGAGGTGGTGGGCAAATGTGATAAATACTGAGGAGATCCAAGTCAGGACATTTTTGGTTTGACTGTGGGATAAGGGAGAGAGATGAGCCTGGGATCATTTTGGATTTCAGGCTTGGATGCCTGGGTGGATATTGATACTGTTAACTGAGACAGAGAATAACTGAGGAGGTTAGGTTTGATGGTGGGGGCAGATGATGAGTTCAGTTTTATTTATTTAAATTCAATTTAATTAACATATACTGTATTATTAGTTTCAGAGGTAGAATTCAGTAAATCATCAGGTGCACAGAACACCCAGTGCTCATTCCTTCACATGCCCTCCTTCATGCCCATCACTCAGCTACCCCATCCCCCCACCCACCTCCCTTCCAGCACCCCTCAGTTTGTTCCCTATAGTTAAGAGTCTCTGATGAGTTCAGTTTTAAATGTCAAGTTTGAGATGCCAACTGAGTATTTCAATAGCAAATTTTAAAAAGGTTTGGGTGGAGAGACAGACTTGGGAGTTATCAACTTACTGGTGGTAGTCCCAAGAGAGTAGATGAAGTCATCACACTGGGAAAATATCCACCACGGAGGCAAACTTGTGGCCTGCACATGTGTTTTGTTTGGTCCAAAATAAAAGTTTAACAAAGTTCAAATTAGTGACCAACATTTAAAATTTAACAAATTTTATGTAAGAATTTTATGTAAGTATCTGTATCATCACCACATCACCAAGCCAGCACTCTTGGTTGGCAAAAATCATCCAGAGCTGAGTAGGGACCATGAACTCCAGTTCTCCATAGTCTCTAATCATGAGCTTCACTCCTTCGTGTTCACTGCCTGAGCACTTGTAGGCTTTTGGGTTTCCAGCTTGATGTAGCATAAGAAGATCAAGGAGGAAAGAGTTAAGGAAAAGGGAAAGAAAGAGGAGCCCCTGGATGGAAACTGAGAAGAGATGGTCAAAGAGATAAGAACCAAAAGGGCTTGGTAACAGAAGCAAAGGGATCGGGGTTGAAGGAAGGAGAAGCAAATCTTGCAAAGCATTAGAAGTTGTTTCAGCTGCATTATTTGGCTTTTTGCTGAGGCCCAAAATTTAGGCGTAATTTTTGACACCTTTCTTTTCCTTTATCGCCTTACATAATCCATCTCCAAGTCTGTCATCTCTAGCTCCAAATTATTCCTTAAATTTGTTCATTTCTCTCCATCATTTCTTACAGCATCACTGCAAAAGCAACTTGCTCTCTTTGCATCCTTTGTCTCCCAATAGTTCATTGTATACACAACATCTAGGGTGGTTTTACAAAAACAGATCCTGTCACTTGCATGTCTAAAACTCTTCACTGGCTACCCATTACAGTTCAAATGAAACCCATGCCGTTTATGATGACGCAGAAAGGCTCTACAAGATCAGGATTCTACTTGCCTTGTTGATCTCATCTTCTGTTCTTTCCCTAGCCTCCTTTCTCACTTTCTCAATGGCACCACATTTTATCCCTCCCCATAGCTTTCGAACATCTAGATTCTTCTCTTGGTTGTTCTAACTCCAGATCTTGACAAAGCTGACTTCTCAGTTCAACAGGCCTCTTCATAGTTACTTCCTTAACATCTCAAACTAATGGGGCGCCCTCCTTTTTTTTCCTTCCACACACTTCTGATCTCTATGAACGCATATAGATTTGTTGTCATTCAGTGTTTACTTTCTGAACTAGAAAGTAATCTCCAGAAGATTACTGTTTTGTTCACTGCTGTACCCCCCAGATTCCTTTAACACTGCTTGCCCGGCACATAACAGAACTGTAATAAATTGTGGTGGAATGAATATGTACACTACACTCATATATACCAGGAGCAGGGTAAAATAAGGAATAAAAAGTGCACTGTTGTTAATTCGGTAACTTTTTTTTCTTAAATGCCTATAAGATTTTGTAATTAGAAATAACCGGGTAACAGGGTAACCCTACAATCCCCAAACCAAGCCATCCCTGTCAGCCCACGCTCTCCGGCCGCAGCTCCACGCCTGCGCAGACCTCCCCCCGGCGACTCCGCCCAGCTCTTCCGGAGTGGGCGGGCCGGACCGACTGCGGTCCAGGCGCGCTTGGATGACGTCACTAGGCGGGGCCCGGGTAGCCCGTGGTAACCCGGAGTCTGCGGAAGTGGAGACCGGTGGGCAGGCGGCTAAGACAGGTAACCTGTGCGCTCCCTGTTGGGTCCATGCCTTCCTCTTCTTTGGCGCCGCGATGGCGGCTGGCACAGCAGCTTCCCATTGAAGGCGACCGGGAACCCTCCTCAGTCCTCATCTTTCTCCGGTGGGGTCCCCATTCCCTCAGTCCTCCCAGACTCCTGAGGCTGAACCTGTCCTGGGGACTTGGGCTGAGCGGCCACTTCTCTCCGCCTCAGCTCTCGCGGTGCCGATGGGCGATGACTTTCCTCTCCTCCCGTGGCATAGACCCTTCTAAAGCCTGCATTTGCCTCCTTCTTCCTCTCTTGCCTCCAGGCCCACTTCGCCCGCCCCTCTCCACTCCTTGCCCCGCAAGACTCATATCCAGGCTTGTTTAAGGAGATTCAGTTTACGATTCTCTTAATTTCCACTTGCCCTGAAACCCAGGCACCTTCCCTGCTCCTCCAACCGTCTACTTCCCCCCCCCTCCCCCCAGGATCCTTACTGAGAGCACCAAGCTTTGAGTTTTGGTGTCCCTAAAGAGCATTCGTACTGACAGGAGTTTTGCTCCTTAATGCATGTATTTGTTGAGTAAGGAAGTGGCGTAGTAATGTGAAAATCTTTTGTGATAATAAATGATATACATAGGATCCAATCAACTGTTGAGATGGATGGAACTGCTACAGCATTTCATTAAAATGTTCCTTGTTCCTAGCTTTCTTTTTGGTTTTCAAGCAGTGGTAACAAGTACCTTTGCAAAGTTAGCCGTCAAAATAAATAAGCAACAGAACCTCACTAGGAATGTTTAGACAGCAAAAAAAATAATAAAGTTCATCTTGTTGATAAAGTAATATGGGTTATGACAAAACCAACCAGGATAGATATGGGAGGAAAGACAGGATTCTGAAATCTTTGATCCGTTGATGGTTTGGTTTTGTATTTTTTTGTACTTTATGTTCCATTTTTGAATAGAGCGTATCTTCATGTAATTTTGAGAAGCCTGCCTATGGCTTGCTAATTGGTAAGATTAGATTCTTCTAATACTAGGGGGACAAAGTAGAATAAGACTAGGGAATAATAGTCGCTCATTGTTAGCCATCTGCTGTATCTCAGGGACCGTGTTTGATACTTTGCATTTATTTTCTTCTTAGCTCACACAACAACCTTGTGAGTTAGGAATTTTTATCCTCAATTTACACAGAGAAGGAAACTGAGGTTCGGGTATGTGAAGATAACTTGCCAAAAACTTATGGTTACTAAATGGTGGGGCTAGGCTTTAAGTTTAGGTCTATGTATGACTTCAGAGCCTATACCTTTTCTTTCTTTTTTTTTTAATAACTCCATAAACGATCACATTCTAGGCTTTTCACAATAGTCACACATAATTCTATGAGTTTATTCTCTCATCAATCTAAATGATGAGTTTATTCTCCGATCAATCTAAATGATTTATAATATCTTTAGTATTAAGTTGTTATATACCTGGAATTAAAACACCTGGAAAGCTTAATTTATGATCCTCCCCCCCCCCCACTATCCTTATCTGTAAGAATGAGATAAGAGGCAAGCAAGATTGCTCAGTACAACCCTTTTTAGATCCCTCAGGGAATGTGTAATTCTGGATTGTTGAAAGTTTTACCCTTTTAGAGATGGAAATCATACTGATTGTTTTGTATAGAACAATTTTAAATGCCCTAAAAAATTCCTTGCTTTCTTAAACACTAAGTATACTGACATACTTTAACCTTTTCTTATGTCTCAGAGCAGTCATTCTAAGTATCACTTACTGTCCTGTGTTGTGATACAGTGATTTCCTCAGAGCTTTTATTATATATATATATATATTTTTTTTAAGATTTTATTTATTTATTTGAGACAGAGAGAATGAGAGACAGAGAGCATGAGAGGGAGGAGGGTCAGAGGGAGAAGCAGACTCCCTGCCGAGCAGGGAGCCCGATGCGGGACTCGATTCCGGGACTCCAGGATCATGACCTGAGCCGAAGGCAGTCGCTCAACCAACTGAGCCACCCAGGCGCCCAGCTTTTATTATATTTAACTGCACAAGTTGTTTTGCCTTTTGAGTTTGTCTGTATTTTTATGTATTCCATTCCTCAGTGTCACCAGGAGATAGTAAACCATAGTGATTAAAAGCAGGGTTTGGGGAACCACACTTCCATTATTCAGGTCCTAGCTCTACCACTTACTAGTAGCTCAGTGAGCCCAGACAAGGTAGTTGACCCCTCTACACCTCAGTTCCTCATTTGTAAAATGTAAATAATAAGAGTACTTTTCTCAGAAGATTGTTGTGAGGATCAAGTGAGTTAGTGTCTGTAAAGAGCTTAGAACAAATCAGGCGTATAGGAAGAGCCATGTAAGTGTTTGCTAATATTGTTAGTTTGGTTTTGGCCTTATGTATTATTCCTTGAGTGATATTTGATATATGGTATTTATGAGTTTACTGGAGAATTAAATTATCCCAACTAGAGTACCTTCACCTTAGCCATTCTAGGAAAATGCTAATTTATTAAATTTATTTTTGTTGTGTCTTTGAAATGCAATATGCCTTTTGGTTGTAGTGTTTGGAATAGAGACTTCAAATATTTCGTGTTACTATATGTTTCAGAATAATAGGCTTTTAATTTCTGCTTTGAATTTGGGGGATATTTCAGTGGTTTACATTATGGTTTACACATGTATGGGAACCCCCTCTGCTTTTGAATTGAACACCGGTAGGTTTACACATCCATTTATGGTGCCCTGCACAGGGGTAGTGGTGCACTCCTGTCATGATTCTGTGTGGGTAGATGCCTCCTCATAAAACTACCATTATGCATTGGCCACATATAAAGCTATTTTCTCAGTATAATCCTCTTTTTTTTCTCTTCAACAAGCTAAAAAAATTGTCAGCAAAATGAAATAATAATACTTTTTGAATTTGCGAAATATGTACCAATTTTCAAGCATGTGTTTTAAACCAAGTCCAGCTAAGGGTTGATATTGATTCCTTTGTTGTCCATTGTCAGGAACTTGAAAATAAGTGATCTTTTTTTTAAATTTTAGTACCATTAAGGCTGATGCTCCTGTTGAAAGTTGCTGTTGAAAATATAGGTTGTATTTTTAAAAGATATTTTTTTATTGTGATAAAATACTCATAATATAAAATTTACTATTTTAACCCTTTTTAAGCATATACTTCATTGCATTAAGCACATCATTAATCACCATTATCCATTTCCAGAATTTTTTCATCATTCCGAACAGAAGCTCTGCACCCAATAAAAAGCAATTCCCCATTCCCCTCCTCCCACGCCCCAGCCCCTGGTAACCTCTGTTCTACTTTCTGATTTTCCGAATTTGCCTATTGTAGGTGGAGTCGTGCACTATCCTTTTGTATCTATTTCATTTAGTATATTTTCAAGGTTCATCTTTGTTGTAGTAGAGTTCATCCATGTGAGAGCATAGATTAGAATTTCATTCCTTTTTGTGGCTGAATAACATTCTATTGTATATATATAGCATATGCTATACTTTTGATGCATATTGAATTATGCTTCTATATACTCATTTCATATGGTATGAACTTAATACTTGGTGATTTGATTTGTGAGTTTCTAGAGGATGGGGATGGAAATACCAATTGAAATAACAGTTGTTACTGAACAGTGAACAAAATACCTGGTAACAATTTTAAACTGGAGCTTGAGCCTGTATTACAGTGTGGTTGTTCTTCTCACTTAACATTTAGCCTCAATATAGTAAGGAAAATAATAATCATGATAACATTACCTAGTATTTCTTTTTTTTTTAAATTTTTTTTTTAAATTTATTTATTTGACAGAGAGATAGCACAAGTAGGCAGAGCGGCAGGCAGAGGGAAAGGGAGAAGCAGGCTCTCTGCTGAGCAGGGAGCCCGATGTGGGGCTCGATCCCAGGACCCTGGGATCATGACCTGAGCCGAAGGCAGACGCTTAACGACTGAGCCACCCAGGTGCCCCATTACCTAGTATTTCTATAGTGTTTACAGTATGCCAGGCATTATTCCAAGCACTTTACCTGTGAGGTAGGTACTACAGTGTTCTCTTTTACAGATGAAGAAGCTAGGCACAGAGAACTTAAATTAATTGAATTGTTAAAATTTACAAGGCTGGTATGTGATGAAATTGGAATTTGAACCCAGGCTGGGTGGCTCCAGAGTTGATTTATCCTATATTTGGTGTTGACACTTGGCTCAGTATCAATTTTGCAATGTAAATTGTTTTGCCTGCCACATTCTTCCTCTACCCTCTCTTTTTATATCATTTTTAAAATAGAACATTACTTCCGAGCTTAGTAGGCAATGGAAGAGCATCTGAACCCAAATTGTCAAAAGGGTGACAGGAAACTTCTCACTTGGCTGGGGTGATAACATTTGAATGGCATTCAAACTGCATTTTCACAGCTTAGTTCATATTATCTTTCTCTGAGAGCCTGTCTTTGAAAAAGCAGATCCTGAAACGTTTTAAGATCTCATATTGCGTATATATTGTGTTGGTGTTTGATACTGCACAATTCCCACACTCTTTTTCTGTGGGTAAAAAGAGCTTTTTTTTTTTAAAGATTTTATTTATTTATTTATTTGAGAGAGAGAGAGAAACAGCATGAGAGGGGATAGGGTCAGAGGGAGAAGCAGGCTCCCCGCTGAGCCGGGAGCCAGATGTGGGACTCGATCCCAGGACTCCGGGATCATGACCTGAGCCGAAGGCAGTCGCTTAACCAACTGAGCCACCCAGGCGCCCAAAGAGCTTTTTGTTTATAATGTTGTTACTGACTGTCAGAATGGTTTATGGCACATTTATTTTGTTGCTAACTCATTACTCTGTATTGCTTGATTCCTGAAGAAATTATCTTTTGAGATAGCATTTTTAGATACATAATCAATTTCACTATAATTTTTCTTGGCCTTTCCTTTGCTTACATTTTATTTCTTTGACACTTGCAGTTGAAGGTTTACTTTTTGAAACTGATGGGAATTGGGATATGCTTGATA